ACTGGCCATCATCTCCCAGCTAGCAGAGGGAAGGATAGATGGGCAAAAATTAAAGGAGTGGACCTCATGGAAATAAAAACTGGCACATCTTTTAAGTGAAGCCTTTTCTTCACCCATGTGTTGGTTATTCAGTGGCGCGTTTTTCAACTCCATGGTGCTTAAAAATTTTTGTTTTAACTTCCAGTCTGTTGCTGACTTTGTTTTGTGACTTCTCATTTAAGGGAATATATAGTGATGGCGTAATAGAGACTATTCTATTTATATGTAAAGATACAATGCAATATGCATCCCTACTTCCAAATCAGTGATGGACTGCCAATGAAACTGTTGGACATAACTAGAGAACGGGCTGCTCGTCTATGTGACATTGTCTGTGCCAGGAACGTCGGGGCACACTCAAATCACAGACTGATGAACTTAGGACTACTTTGAAGGACTAGTATGGAGAGAGTCAGTCAGGTGGTGGGAATTTGGCGGTGGGCGGGGCGAGGAGAAATCCCAGACCCTATGGAATTGTTGCATACAAATCAAAAATGAAAAAAAAAAAAAGACTGGATAAAATAAATTACATGTTATTATAACAAATTGTTGCCCAATGATACATCATGAAAAGATTTCTTATTTTTTCCTGGGTTTTAATTGCATAGAATTGCTCTTATAAATTTCAATTTTTAATTTTTAGTCTGTTCCACTTTGTCACTCTTCACTGTACACCACAAAACCTGTTGGATGGATGTGCTATCAGGACATGTGAATTTATGAAAAAGCACAGCAGTAGTATGAAAGGTGGGAACACATACAGAAGACCCATAAAATTTTTTTCCTGAACAGTTGAAATTTCTTCAAATGTGAGGGAAAAAAACAGCTTTTCCTTAAGACAGTGTCTTACAGCACTGAACATCCAAACATGAGTAATAAGAAAGGACGAAGAATCAGTAGACTCGGGTTCTATTTCTGGCTCTTCCTCTGAATGAATCATAGTGACCTCGAAAAAGTCCTCTCACCTTTCTCTACCTTCATTTCCTTGCCAGTTACTTGATTAGGTTAAACCTAGGAATTCTTCTGAATGTTGCTGAGTGAAGAAGACCAAATATGCATGCTCTGGACTGGTCACTAGCCATCTTTATCTCACTGTCAGATACCAAGTAGGTGATGCCCATATTAAAATAACTAACTCTGCACTTATCCTCTATGCGATAAATCTGTCCTAACAGGTCAATAAACAGGAGATTACTGGGCCTTGAACACACCGGGATCCCATATGGATGCCGGTTCTATTCCCAGCTGCTCCACTTCCCATCCAGCTCCCTGCTTGTGCCCTGGGAAAGCAGTCAAGGATGGCCCAAAGCCTTGGGACCCTGCACCTGGGATACCCAGAAGAAGTTCGTGGATCCTGGCTTCAGATCGGCATAGCATCCGCCATTGCGCTCACTTGGGGAGTGAAGCATCGGACGGAAGATCTTTCTCTCTGTACTCCTCCTCTCTGTGTATCTGACTTTCCAATAAAAATAAATCTTTTAAAAAAAACCAGGAGGTTACTAAACAGGACTCTTTCCAGAGCCTCAGATTTTAAATGTGAAAAGATGTATCAAATGAAAATTACATGGAAGTCTCAGGAACATACTTATTTTGAAGGAAAATAAAAGTCTAAGCTATTTAAGGGCCCAGGCTCTTCAGGACTGTTTCATTTTCTGGGCAAGTCCTTCTTCCGTCCTCCCCATCAAGGAAAAATGCTAATGCATCCTTGATGCCCCTAGTATATCATCCTGCACATCTATATGAATATATTCCTGTGCACTGTATTGTTGCATGTCTCCTCTTTCCTTTGTCAGTGAGCCTTGGAGAGGCAGAACCATGACTTAAAATTCTGAGTATCATCAACAAAATAATGTGCTTTCTAGTACAATATGGCTATTCAGTATATATTTACACACATACGCACACACAAATACAAGTATTCATACACAGATGTAAAGGTATATATTTGCATAAAATGTATGTGTGCACTTGCTAAACAGAGTAGGGTCCACCACGATGGTTCAACTGGCTTATCTCGCTCCCTTCAATCACTGCTAATTCATAGAGTACAGGTTCATGTCCTGGCTGTTCCACTTCCCAACAAGCTCTTTGCTGATAGCTTGGGAAAGCAGGGGAGGGTGGTTCAAGACCTTGGGATGCTGCATTCTTGTGGGAAACCCAGAAGAAGCTTCTGGATCCTGGCTTCAGGTGGGCTCAGTTCTGTCCATTGTGACCATTTGGTGAGTGGACCAGTGGATGGCAGGTCTTTTCTCTGTCTGTCCTTCTCTCTGTAAATCTGCCTTTCCAATAAAATAAATGAGTAAATTTTGAATGTTGTATGCTACCACGGGTAGCATAATGCTAATGATCTTATTATTTTTTTTTCAGTAATGAGGGGTCAGTGTCACGGTGTTTGATGAGTGAAATACCTACCAGCATGCCACATGCAATCCGGTTCTAATCCTGGCTACCTCACTTTTGATCCTGCTCCTGGCTAATGAACCTGGAAAGATAGAGGATGGTAGCCCAAGTGCTGGGGCCCCTGCATTCACATGGGAGATTAGAAGAAGGTTCTGGTTCTTGCTTCGGACGCCACTTCAATCATTTGGAGTGTGAAGCAGCAGACAGAACATCTCTGTTTCTCCCTCCCTCTCTGTACCTCTGCCTTTTAGGCAAGTACATCTTTTTTTAAAAGAAATGAAAGATTATATCTCTAGATTATGAGAAAATACTTGATTTGTCCCTAACATTCAATTCACAAAAATCTCAAACATTTTCCAATCCTTCATTTTAAAACGACTTTTTCGGGCCAGTGTGGTGGCATCACTGGCTATTAATTTGCCTAAAGCACCAGTAACCCAACTGTTACCCAATTAGAGTCTCAGTTGCTCCAATTCTGATTCAGCTCCTAGGAAAGACACAGAGCAGGGCCCAAGGCCTTGGGACCCTGACTCACAGGGAAGACCAAGAAGACACTGCTTCAGACTGGCTCAGCTCTTAGCTGCTGAGGCCATCAAGAGACATGAACCAATGGATATTGGGTCTATCTATCCCTCTCGCTAACTATGACTTTCAAGTAAGAATCAATCAATCATTTTTTAAATTTTTGTTGTTTCATTTTTCTGGGTTTTTTAACATAGGTAATGGATATAACACTGCAAGTTATGCAATAAAGAATTCAGAATTTTTTTAAGATTTTTTTTTTCTTGGAAAGCCAGATATACAGAGAGGAGGAGAGACAGAGAGGAAGATCTTCCATCCGATGCTTCACTCCCCAAGTGGCCAAAACAGCTAGAGCTGATCCAATCTGAAGCCAGGAGCTCTTCTGGGTCTCCCACACAGGTGCAAGGTCCCAAGGATTTGGACCATCCTTGACTGCTTTCCCAGGCCACAAGCAGGGAGCTGGATGCGAAGCAGGGCCTCTGGGATTAGAACTGGCGACCATATGGGATCCCAGCGTGTGCAAGGCAAGGACTTTAACCACTATGCTATCACTCTGGGCCCCGAATTCAAGATGTTTTAAGTATAATTTTTAAAAGATTTATTTATTTTTATTGGAAAGGTATATATACAGACAGAAGAAGAGACAGAGAAAAATATCTTCCATCTGATGGTTCACTCCCCAAGTGGTTGCAACAGCCAGAGCTGAGTTGATCCAAAACTAAGAGCCAGGAGCCTCATCCAAGTCTCCCAGGGAAGTGCAGGATCCCATGGCTTTGGGCCATCCTCCACTACCTTCCCAGGCCACAAGCAGGGGCCTGAATGGGAAATGGAGCAGCTGGGATATGAACTGGCACCCATGTGGGAGTCCAGTGCATGAAAGGCAAGGATTTAGCCACTAGGGTATCACGCTGGACCCTAAATATAACATTTTATAAATTAGGACAACTCATAAAATAAAAACGCATCCAACAGAAGTAGTGACCACAAAATTAATGGCATAAAGAAACAGCTGTCCTAAGAAATAAGTAATATATTATAGATAAAAATCTATTATTTCAATAGATACAATTCCCAAACACAATTTGAAAATATTATCTTACAAATCACAAATTTATCACACATCTATGAACATTCAAATTTTCATATTTCTCCTATTCACTGCGTTCTAACAGTCTTGATTTCATTCAATAACTAAGAGTAAGATTAAGTAAACACGAAACTAACATTGTACTTATGGACTTTAAATGTAAGTCCTTGGAATATGTAGTTACACTAAGAAAAACAGAGAAACCCAACTACTTCTTCACACTGGCCTAAAATTGACACAAAAAATTGACCCTTTTCTATGTTTTATTACGCCCTGAGTGTGATTCTATAACAAATGCCAAACAGAAGAAGTATTCGTTGGACCAGACTTCCAAGCTACAACCTTCAACAACTATCGCTAATAATTCTGTTATTAACTAGCATGCTGACAGCATGTATCACATTGGCATGAGGCAGTAAACAGAAGTACCCTCTTCGCTAAATTGGCTCTACCTGATTCGTCCCACATGTGGCACACGCACATAAACTCCCACATACATACACCCACGAGTGCCTGAGCAGCTGAAAATCACCTTTGGATAACACTGTATTAGGCGGTTTGTGCCACCAATGTGGACCCCCTTGAAAGGACCACAAACAAGCTCGTTCTTTCTAGTGCTGCCAGGAGAGGCAAGGAAAGGATGGTAGTTATACTAACAAGGCAAAAGAGCATCTCCCTGGTGCGACCAAGAACATGGCACCTATTTTAGGTCAAACAGGAGGGTAGCCCTTTGAGATGACTCGGACAAACACGACTGGAACAGTTCCATTTCAGAGCTTGTAAGAAAACATAAAACCAAGTTGTAATCAAAGCCATTTCCTTCCCAGGAGCGGGGGCTGGGGGCAGGGAGGACATTCTCAGGATAGACAGGCCACCAGCAGGTCAGGCCTTTTAGATGCTGAAGAGGGTAGGGCACAGGGGCTGGTCCTGAGTGGCAGCAGGGTGTGCTCACCTGTGAACACGTTCTGGAAGCCATCAGCAGCTGTGGTTGACCCAGGTGCCTTGGCGGCCAGCACTGGTGCCACTCTATCCCCGCCTTCAGGGGCTACCTTGCGCTCCAGCAGGTGTGCAGAGCCCCCTGCCCGGGGCGGGCGGGTGCCCACTTCTTCTGTCCAGTCAGCAGAGCGGCTGAGGCCACCCACGAGGCCGCTGTCTGCCCGGTGTTTCTTGGCAGGAGCGGCTGCCGAGGCCAAGGCAGTTCTGGGTCCCCGGCTCAGGGAGGATTCCAACCGCCTCTTGATCCTGGGGCTCTGGTCGGGAGAATGAGACGGGGAGTGATTGGGCGAGCTGAGTTGCCGGGTGGTGGTCTTGATGTAGCAGGGGTTGATGAGCGGATAGGGCTTGAAGCAGCGCGGGCTGGGAGCGGGGCTGCTGGGCAGGGAGGCGGCTGCGGGGACTTCGGGCTCTCCTGCCGGCATGTCGGGCTCAACCACCGACTTCTCCCGGGCCTCTTCCCTCTCTGGGGCCCACTCCTCCCCTGGAGAGCCTCTGGGAGCATCCTCAAAAGCCTCCTCCTCGGCTTCCTCATCCGTGTCCCCAGTCCCTCGCACCAGGGTTTCTGTTGTGCCCTCCCCAGGCCTGGTCTCTGGAAACGAAAAGGCAGCGGAGGAGGCTGAGACCGCGGCCTCAGGTTGAACCAAGGGGAGGCTGGGCGCCTCCGAGGCCACGGGGGCGCCTGGAGACGGCGCCTGCTCCGGCACTGCGCGCTGGACAGTCAGGCTCTCGGGCAGATCCGAGAGTGCGGACAGCGCCTGCTCCGTGTCCGGACTAGCAGGAACCTCTCCCGGTCCACTGCTCGGCCCCAGCAGGAACTGCTCCAGGCCCAGGAAGGCCCCTGGCTGAGGGCGCGTTTCAGTGGGGGGCGCTGCAGACGCCTCCTCGGAACCCTGGAGCAGCTGCTGGAGCTGCTGCTGTTGCTGCAGACGGATCGCCTGCTGAATGTCCGAGAGCAAATCCTCTTGCTCCGTGGCCGAGTGAAAGCTGTAGATGTCCGTGTCCGAGCCCGAACTGGTCCTTTGTCCATCCTGCGCCCCCGCCGCGGGTTCCAAATCTTCAGCGACCGCCCCAACCGCCGCCGCCGTAGCAGCAGCAGCAGCCTGGGCAGCAGGCCCGGGCCCCCCTGGTCGAGGTGCCTCAAAAGGGTCCGCACATTCCGTATCCGATAGGCCAGTCTCGTCCGCCGAGAGGCTGAGGTCAGGAGTCTTGGGGACCAGCGAGTGAGCGCTGTCCAGCTCCCCGGTTTGCAGGGCCTGCGAGTCCAGCACATCCTCTCGGGATCCGCCGGCGCCCTTTCCTTTGGACAGGTTCTTTCTGATCCGCAGGTTGGAGAATACCGAGGCTCTGGAGTCGGACTTGCTCTTCTTCCTGCCCGGCTCCCCGCCGCCGCCCCCTCCCCCCTTGCCGTGCTTGCCCAGCGCCTTCTTGCCCCCACTCCCCTTCTTTGTGGCCTCCACATCCCTGGGCCCCACAGCATCCTCGGCGCCGCCGCCTTCGTGCGCCGCATCACCTGCGCTCCTCTTCAGCTTCCCATCCTGGTTCCCCATGGTGCAACCCCAGTGCTGCGCCTCCCCGCCTCGGGCACTCAGGCCATGCCGGTCGTCCTCGGTCCCGAGTCCTGGCCGGGAGACTCTCTTGGGGAAGTCAGGCAGCCGGGTGAGCTGCTGTGAGAAGCCGAGGCTCGACCAGCTGGCCCCGCTCGCATCTGCCGCCGCTCTGCATAACGCGCCGTGGCTCCCGCCGCTGCCGTCACTGCTGCTGCGGATGCGGCTGCGACCCGGCGGAGCCGGCGGGGCGCGAACATGCTCAGTGCAGTGCGCGGCGCCCGCCAATGGCTGCACGGGACGCAGCGCGGGCCTGGCTCCCCGCCGGGTCCCACCGCCCCCGAGGCTCCGGCTTGGCTCTAGGCTGAACTGGGGCGCGAAAAACGTTTCTTGGATCTCGGCGACTTGAATCTCCACGGTGCGAATTGAATGCATTGTCTGCGAGCGAAGGGGTCCTCAGCGGCCACGGGCACGTCCAACTTTAAAGCTCTCGGCCCTGCCATGAGGAAAGTTAAAAACAAAAAGAAGAAAGAAAAAGAAAATTTTACGTGAGGAAATTTTGAAGGCAAGTTCTAGTTTACAGGTGCTGTAATGTCCTGGTCGGGCACGTCTCCTCCCCAACCCCCTGTCTGTCTGCTTCTGTGTGGCTTTTCACTAAATATTGGCTGAATGAATTTATCTCTGTTTCTCCAAGAATCCTCCTCTCGAGCGCTCTAATGTGCTCCAGCATGAGGTGTAGAACAGGTTACTACACATCGGGTTGCTTTCAGGACTCCACAGGACCCAGCTTCTCACAGGATACTGGCTGATATTGCCCAAGTTCTTTCATCAAACTTTTTTTGACAGAAAAAAAGGAGAGGAGGAGACAGAAAATACTAAGACTTGATTAAAATGCTAATCTCTAAAATTCTAGGTGTTTACCATATAAATTAAACAGCATTTGTATTCAAAAGGGGTGCATATACTATAACTCCCAGGAGGTCAAGCTCATCAATATTAAACATGTCACTATTGTGGCTGACTATAAAAAGGAAAAAAAAAAAGTATGAAAAAGAAAACACCCTTGGCACAAACACACAAAAATAGATTTTTTCTATAAGCCACCACTTTCCTAAGCAAACTTCCTAGTTTCTGAAGATGCTGGTCTCAATATAAATGCTTTTCTTCATGGTAAGTTATATTGTGTTTTAATAACTTAACACACTGAGGTAGCTATTTTTAAATATAATTCAAACAGCATTCAAGGGAGGGGGAGGGAACATCCCAATGCCTATTAAATTGTGTCATAAAATTAAGGAAAAAAAAACCTCAGCATTCATATATGACTAACGGATCTCCAAGCAGAAAACGCTAACGTGGTATTCATCAACAACAAATGACACAAGTGTTTGACTTCTGTGCTGGTTATCTTGAAAATATGGAATAGCTATCCAATTTGCCAATATTCTGAAAGTAAACCCAAAGGAGGAGGGAAAAGTGATGTGTTTTGTAACACACAAGCAAATGTGTAGGCTTCTTTGGCAGGATCTGAACCAACTTTGTAAGATTTCATCTTTAACTAGCTCTCAAGAGTGAGGGTTAGTCCTCCAAGTCCTTGTTGTAAAATTGTGCAGGAATTAATAGTAGTCTTTTAGAAACTCTGTTCTTAAAAATAAGTGAAACTTCAGGCTGCTTGTCCTTAGTTAGCCTTTTAGAATAAATGATTTGAAGGAATCAGCTTTAATAACTTGGCCAGGGTAATATCCCGATCTCCAGGCAATTCCGGAACACTTGAAAAGCTTTTGTTTCTTCTCTTTCACAAGACCGCTCTTTCTTTTCTCCCAGAATCCAGCCTCCTCACAGGGCACAATGTGCCTGGGTTATTACAATTTTCTGCTTCCTTGAGTGCCAAGGTACTTTTTAGTCTTGATTTGTACTCTTTCTTTAACAGAACGTTTTGAGTTTCAAACTATTTGTTTCCCTACTTGTTTTTTCTATGATATACTCTAGAAGCTCTGCAGACATAAGAAGGAAGGGAGACAGAGAGGGAAGGCCATAAGGGAGGGAGAAAGGGGCTGCTGACTTTTTTTTCACCTTCTTTGAATGGGAAACAATAGATGGCAGTTGGGCATCAGGTCACAGTGGACCAGGCTCTGTGACACACAAAGGCTGATTAGAAACACAAGTGTGAACAGCAAAGGCAGGTAGTTACCCAAAAATAACTTGTGCAAAAGGCTGAAGCTCAGAGAGGCTAGGAGATTTATCCAGAGTCAATAGCAACAAAGGCAGTACTTCAGCCTGCACATTTAGAGGTCAAATACTTTGTAACAACGCCATATGCTTTAGAAGAAAGTCCCAAAGGCAAACCGGAAAGATTTGCCAAAGCATTTCTTGGTATTTAGCAGCACCAAAGACGGCTGGGACATAGCCTAGGCTTAACTCCATCTGATCAATAAAGAATATCATGCCTGGGCCCAGTGTGGTAGCCTAGTGGTTAAAGTCCTCGCCTTGCACCTGCTGTGATCTCATATGGATGAGATCCTGACAGCCCCGCTTCTAAACCTGACAGCCCCACTTCCTATCCAGTTCCCTGCTTGTGGCCTGGGAAAGCAGTCAAGGACCATCCAAAGCCTTGGGACCCTGTACCCACATTGGAGACCCAGAAGAGGCTCCTGACTTTGGATCGGTGCAGCTCCAGCTGTTGCAGCCACTTGGGTAGTGTCAGTGGGCAGAGATCTTCCTCTCTGTCTCTCCTCCTTTCTCTATATCTGACTTTGCAATAAAAATAAAGAAAGAAAGAAAGAAAGAAAGAAAGAAAGAAAGAAAGAAAGAAAGAAAGAAAGAAAGAAAGAAAGAAAGAAAGAAAGAAAGAAAGAAAGAAAATACTATCATCCCTGTGTTGCAAAAGGAGCCAGCATTGTGGCACACAGGTTAGGCTACCACAACCCGCAATGCCAGCATCTCATCTGAGCGCTGGTTCTATTCCCGACTGTTCTACTTCCTATCCAGTTCTCTGCAAATGTCCTCAGAAAAAGGTCCAAGTACTTGGACCCCTGCCACCCACATGGGAGACCTGGATAAGGTCCAGGCTCTTGACTCCACTTGGCTTAGCCATTGCAATCATCTGAGAGAGTGAACCAGCAGATGGAAGATCTCTCTCTGTCTCTGTATAGCTCTGCCTTTCAAATCAGTAATAAATATTCCTTACATAAAATGCATAGGGAGAATAGAAAAGAAGCACATTTCACAAATAAGTAGAGACTACCCATAAAAATTAGGCCAAATGTGTAAATTTTCAACAAGTCAGGCTATAAAGAACAGTATGCATCACATGTGTTTTTCCTAAGTTTGTTCAGCCATGTTCTTAATGCATGAATATGTTCACAATCTCAATATAAGCCACATTGTTTCTTAAAACCTTCACTGTGTATCTATGTACATATATATGTATGATGTTAAAAACTGCCTTTGCTTTCGACTGTAAGCATCAGCATTTTCTGTTAATGTTGAAGAGCCAGTCTGGCTAATTATGTCCAAATGGAAAACAGCCCAAAAACAATGGAGAAAATGCATGTTTCAATTTAGGGCAAGGCTTGCCTGTAAATTATAAAGCAAATGACTTAATACTTTATACTTCCACATAAGAAATTAAGGGGAATTTCCAATCAGAAATAGATTCAAAAGAAGTTTGAAACTCACAGTTGTCATCGTAGAATTTTCCTGGAAATTATCAGGTAATTGCACTTCACCTAGAAAACAAAGATGGAGACACTTTTTTGCACCACAAAGAAATAGCTTTGGAGCTCAGTTTTGCTTCAGCTTCCTTTTCTTCGTAACAGCTCAAGGATGGCAGGTTTTGGTAGGGATTGCGGAAGCCAGGAGAAAGGTTAGATTTTATTCACCTGTGTTGGAACTTGGGTTGGATAAAGGTTATCGCCACGCAGCTGTTGAGGAGGAGGGAAAGCTTGTCATCCGTAACATAGCCAGTGTTTCCTGGTAGTGTATGTAGAAAACCTGTCATCAGAGGCTCAGGGCAAAGGGAATGTTTTACTTGCTTACTGGGCATTACTTCATGGGTACCTACAACACTTTCATCTTTCCTTCCGCAGAGGTTAAGAAGACTGCATTGGAAGTGTGCCTTCACTGCTCAGGACAGTGCATTAAAGACTGTCAGAGCTCTTTAGTGCTTTATTGCTCATCCAGGCTTCTAGATGCTTCCCAGCTAAGGAAACACATCCTCTTCCTTTCACTTCCTCTGTCTCTATTGAAAAGCTCTTGAGACTTCACTGAAGGCAAGGTAAACATGATTTTAAAGTGAAAAGAGGGATTGAGCAGCTGGGTTGTTGATTTTATAATAGAATGTCACTTTCTTGAAAGTTCTGGAGTTGCAGATTCTAGGGCCCCTGAGAAGAAGAGAAGAAACGGACTTAGGTAATGCTAACTTTTATCCATCGAGACAATAACCATAATGGGCCTTGGGTAGAAATGGGTTGTTAATGAAAGCTTCATTCTCAGCTGCACCATTCTCAGCTGTAGAGACTAAAGTGGATGGAGGCACAGCCTGACCTCACTGCCCCCAGCACCCTGAGGGTGTGCGCAAAGTATTACCTTGAGTCCCATAAACTGTCAGAACTCTTGGAAGATTTAAGGAACGAGAAGGAGGTTTAGAGGTCCTGACTTCAAATCTGACTTGTTTTATTTCTGATTTGCTTCATGGTTCATTGAGAGCCTTTCAATACTGAGCACTAAACTAGCATGGGATTAGAGAGTATTCATCTGAACAAAGTTTCACCTGGCCTCAGGGAACTTGCAGGGTAATGGTGAATGACCAGCTTAACTGACAGATGCATATTTACCAATTTTGATCAAGGACTTGGAGGTTAAGAATGGATATTCTATGAAAGGGAATTCCTACCCTAAAATGGTGGTTGGGGAGGCCACTCAGCTGTTATTTACATGGCTAGATGCTGGGGTCCGTGTGATGGATGTGGAAGACAGGAAGGTGTGAAGAGTATCGTTCCTTT